TGAAAACTGGTTGTGATATGGACTAGATTTCCTATTTAGCAAGGAGATTTATAGCATAAATAAGATACCAAGAAGTGAATCAATAGGGTACTGTGCATGAGTCCATTTAAAGGAAGAAAATATTCTGCATGACTCATGAGCCATTATTTCAAATGCTTGTGTAAATATGGTTTAGTTCATCATCACCTTTTCCAATTATGTTTATGTGCAGCTCCAAAGTACAGCCTCTGCTTCTTTTTTTGAAATGCCACCACCTGAACTAGCATTTTCATTAATACAAACTGTGTTTGCAGTGTCTATCAGTGGTGGTAGGAATACAGGAGTTTTTCATTATTTGTAAACTACACACCTCAAAGAAGTGCCCTGTTTAGCCCTAGCTTAGCTTTTTGAACAAAACCACTTACATATTACATTTCTTCAGTTCTTCATGAAACTTTTATATTTCTATAATTATTATCATGATGTTAGTAAAGTAATTTTATCTTTTATTTCTAAAAATAAAATTTTCATATTTACATGTATTAGGGATTAAATCATATTTTCATAATGTCAAACAATTTTGTTTTTCAGGTCAGTTAAGGGTGCAATAAATACTTGCAAGCATAACTTTAGCTTTGTTTGTACTAAAGTTTTACTTTTAGAAGACTGAAATATTTTAATTGTATTTAATAAGCAAGAACTGCTATGTATTAGTTAGAAGCAAGAACTTGGAGAAGACTGCCCGTGTTTGAAACCTAACTTCACTGATTACCATGTAACCTTAGAAAAGCTTCTAGACCTTTCTGTTTTCTGCACTGTTTCTCATCTGAAAATTTGGGAGAATGGATCGAATTTAAGAGGTCCATTGTGTGGATTGCATTAGTAAATACTTGTTACAGAGAAGAGTGAATAAAAGTGTTTATCCTCACTAATAAGACATTTCCACAGTAAATAAAGGTTCTAAAAGGAATGAATTGAGAAAACATGTGATGTATGGCACAAACAGAAGCCTTTTCAGACAATAGGCTGGTACATCTTTGGTTCACTAGAGGACCAACAGTATTACCTATTGATATTATTGAGGCCACCCGATTCAGTCATCTTGCCTTAATAATACCAGAAGACAAGGTTAAAAACTTGTAGAGATAATATAAAAGATCATTAGAATAACTGAATACCACATCAACTGCTTTCTGCTTGAACTGTTGCTTTTATTATCTAGGGTTCTCTAAACTTCAAAGTTGATAATTTGGCATTTGACTCAGTCAGATGTTTGCTACTGACTCATTTAGTCATTCTGTCCTTCTTAATTTAGTCCAGACTTGTATCATTGTGTCTCTTCTTTGCTGTTCTTGTTGTTTTCCTAATCCCACCTTTCCCAAACTAAAAACAACAACAACAACAGATGTTTTTAAGGAATTATGCTCTCCCACCTCATCTGGTTGTCCATATCCAGCTGTCCTGCTTCTAACAGTATAAAAGACACCTTGCGTTGTTGGAATAAACCATGGTTACTGCCTTCATATCTCCCACTGGTACCAGTTCTACTTGATTTCTCACCAGCACCTTTAAATCGAGGTAGCAAAGAATGATTTTATTGTCGGACATGCTGGCTCAAAGATACTGGTCTGGTCTTTCTGCTTGAAATCACAGGTTAGCAGGAAAGAACCATGTATCTGTGGATCTGAGCCAGTGACCTACATATAAGTTCCAGCACCTGTTAAATACCCCCGAGCTATTCCAACCCTTACTACATTTGAAAAGAGACTTGAAAGAGGAGAAAAGGACACGCTGAAAACCAAGCACAATCTAAAGACCTTTAGAATATCACTCCAATTGTTGCCCAAGCATGTTCAATGAGAAGCTTTGCTTTATTAAATACATTCTTTATCAGAATAACTTCTCTGAAGATTTCCTGTAAAGAAAAAAAATCCTTGCTTAGCAGAAAGTGACTTAGGCCAAGTCTGGTGATTAGTCCACACCATCATCCCTTTCATTACCTTTTCTCATTAAAATTCAGGCAAAATAACATGGCAAGTGGAAGCTGAAGGTGGGGTGGAAGGAACCCTGGAGTCAGAGTGTGGAATCAGGTCTCTTGGAATAGTAATTTACCTTCTGAATTTCAGCATCTATTCATACAAGGAGGTAGTATTATCTACCTTATAGAAACATAAAGATTAAACAATGAGAGTGCACACTTGTAATCCCAGTGGCTCGGGTGGCTAAGGTAGGAGGACTACAAGTTCATGGCCAGCCTCAGCAACTTAGGGGGACTCTAAATAAAAAAAAATAAAAATGATTGTGAATGTAGCTCAGTGGTTAAGCACCCCTGGGCTCAATTCTTTGAGCCAAAAAAAGAAAGCCAAAAGAATTAAAAATAAAATATTCAACAAGGTCATGAGCCTTTGTTATATTGAATATTATTACTGTTTATTTTATTAGCAGTAAATAATTTTGTCATTATGGATTTGGATGATTAAGTTCCAAAAACCTAGTTTTCTATTGAACTAGATGGATGATTTCTTTAACTACCCCCCACTCTTTTTCCAGAAACGCATAATCTGCAGTCTTCTGGGCTATATCACATGGAGTGCACAGGGCTCAAACACTGGAATAGGAGGGATTTGAATTCAAACTTTGGCTAAGGAACACTAGACTCACTTGCTATGAGTGCTGACTCTTGGTTATATGGGACTGGAGACATCTGCTTTGCAGCGTTGTGGAGAGGAATCGTGATAATGTATGAAGGTGTTTGGAATAGTGAATAGTTCAAAGTAAACAGCCATTATATTACAAGCTATTTGGCTTTTTTTTCTGGTATGCCTTCATGTTATTATCCACAATGTGGGTTTGTCCGTGTTCACAATTGCTTTATAGGGCCTCCAGCATTATGCTTAATGGATGGTAAATGCTGACAAGATTGCATCTTAAAAACCATGAGTCATTTGGATCGATAAATAAATCATTAAATCATTACAAAATTACATGGCTCAAAAACCCTCTCTGTTCAGATATCCTAATTGCTCACTATTTAGAAATTTAAGTTCTATGAGGAATATAAACATTTACAAGTTACAGCTGTTGCCTTCAGGAAACTTACAACCTAGTAGGAAGTATTTCTTTCACTAATAACTGTGTCTAGCCAAATTATATCCTTTGTGCAGTTACTAGGCTATAAAGCAAGAAAAAGAAAAATGCTTTCAAAGGTTAGGTTTCTTTTAAAATGAAAGATAACAGTTACACACATCTCTATGTTCTATAGTGCGATGGTTTTGTACATTTACACATCGTACATTGGTGTTGATCAACTCAGTTCTCATTTCTTTTTGACAAGAACATTTAAAATCCTCTCTTCTGGCTATTCTGAATTCTATGATACAATATTTTTTAACTAAAACCATCTTTTGTTTAACAGAACACCAGAACTTATTTCCCCATCTGGCTGTGATTTTGTAACTGCTAACTAATCTCTTTCCATTTCTCCCTCTCCCCTACACTTATTGGCTTATGGTAACTACTATTCTGCTTTCAACTTGAATGAACTCAGTTTTGTAAGATTTGCAATACAGGTGAAACCCTGCAGTATGTGTCTTTTAGACAGAAGTCTTTGACATCATTCTTCTGTCAAAGGGAATGGTAATGGGGAAAGGAGAAGTGGGGAAGAAATTAAAATCTGTTAATTGTGTATTATGTGTCAAACCCAGTACTAGATGATTCTCATTCATTCATTCATTGTTTGAGTTAATACTAAAAATAGTACTATGATATGGATTGTAAAATTTAACTTTAAGGCTGAAAAAATAAGGGTAATCTCAGAAAGCTGACGTGACCTCATCTGAGATCACATATCCTATAAGTGCTAGAGATGGGATTTCAGTTATCAACAAGGGAAGGGCAGAAGGTAGGCTTTGTACAATTTAACTAAAAAAAAATCTGAAAAGGTATTTTGAGTATCTCATCTCCAGAAATTTCTGATTTTTTCTCTGTATTTCTTCCTTCTTACCTCCACTGGGCTTCCAAGCAGTTCAATTCTAGATTGTGGAATCCTCTGATGAGGGCAAGAGCTACAGCAACCTTTTTAGTACACATAGTCCAGAGGGCTTATCTTGCCATTTTACCTGCATGCTTTTAGCAGGGAGAAGATATTATAGCTATTTTAGATATTTAGTGGTTAGTGTCAAATTCAGGAATACTCTTTTGACATTACCTTAATTGTAAAATGTGATACAGAATATACCAGAATTAAGATATACAATTCATTTATCCTTTTACATAAGGAATATCAGTGATCATGGCTTATACCACCTAGTTAGTTACAAAGCTTTAAAAAGCAGTTTTGGATAGTTATTTCAAATAGCAGAAAACCAAATTAACATGGCCTAGGAGAAGAAAATTGTTTTCATGAATCAAAAAATCTGAGGATGGAAAATATAGGATAGATAAAGAGAAGAGGTGAAGTGACTGTAAGACTCTTCTAAAAATTGTCCCTAGAAACCAGAGCCAGCAACTTGTACTCCCTGTGGCCACTCCTAGGAGCAAGGAAAAATTTGTCTTATAGTTTGGAATATAAAATTTGGAAGAAAAAATATCATTAGAGAGACAGAAAGAGATCTTCTTTTTCCAGGGACCATAGAAGAGAAAAGCAAGGCAGAAAAGGGCTGTGAACTGCTTTGGGAAAACTATTCTCTCCTCCCCAACATTGGCTCTTAGTATTACCTGGACCATGTTTGATGACACAAAGGACCCTCTGCTTCTGTCACCTTGGGTTTCTTGGCCACAGGAGCTGATATGATTATAGTACTTACTTTATATGTTTGTTCATGTAATGAGCTAGTGAATGCAAAGTGTTTAACACAATGTCTGGCACATAGCACACTTAAATAAATTCAAGCATCTGTAAAAATAAACAGTAATCATTGATTTATTGTTAAGCAGAACACTCATATTTTCCTTGATGAGAACAAGCTTTTTGATATTATCTGTATATTGCCTTTAACTTTTCAAAAATAATGTTTCCTTAGGAATACCCATCTTGAGCTCTGGATGTGTCTCTGAGAAGGTATCCACAACGCTGACCACACTGGAGGCCAATGCAGAAACTGGGGGAAGGTTCGCAGCAGCTGTGTGTGGACATGCTGATCCCTGAGCTTGATGCAGCGCTGTTAATCTCTCCTCCAGAGTTGGATAGAGGCCTGAACTGAAGCATTGAAAGATGCCTTGCCAATTCAAGGCAAGGTCTTTATTGTTGAAACTCTTGCATAATGACATCTTTATTCATGTGAAAATACAGGATGAATTTCAACTGTATGAAATTGTTTATGTTCATCGGAAATGTTATTTGTCTTTACAAAGTCTGGTTTCAATGAACCAGCTATGTAATGAATATTAAATAAACATGGAATTTTACACATTCATAATATTTGGTTTCTTGTTGTGATTTTGATGAACTACACTTTCAAGCATTGTCAGTTCATTCTTATTTACAAAGAAGCGTTTGCTTGTAGCTGAGTGATGTAGTGACTTGCTTTATTTTCAGTCAACTTTTCTATTCGATGTTTAATGTGAAACTGACTCAAAAATGTTCTTTTAGGCAGCATTTACATTACTTTCTTATAACATACATAATACTATTTTAACTTAATACCATGAACTATAGAAACCAAAGACATTCTAATTCTATTTTTAGTGTACTTTTTTCAAGGCAAATAAATTGTAATGCACTAATAAAAGTAAGTAGTTCATATTAAAAGACTTTTATTGTATGACCCAATGAAATTGCTCTTTGGAAACTGACTCTTAAAAAAATTATTTCTCAAAATTATTTTGTAAACTGGTTTTGTATCAAATTGAATTGACTTTCTCACTTAAATTCTCGATGACAAAAACAAAAAGTTGAACTCCTTCTTCATTTCTCTGTCCACTGATGAGAATTAACTGAATGCTTTTGAACATGATTTTTATTTTTCTTAGCAAAAAGAATCAGATGAATAGTAAAACTTTTAGTTGCCCATATCAGCTTTTGGCTACCTATTTAAAATGAAATTTCTCTTCAGAGTACACCTCATCTTTTCACATCTTTAAAGTGATATGGTTTTATTTTATGGATTTATTTATGAAATGCTTTCACTTTGCTGTTCAGAGAAGGATTTGCCATTTATTTATTTATTAGAGAACACAAAAATAAGAAACTGAGTCCATATTCTTTTGCCCTGTTGACTTTCTCCTTAAGAGGTTCCTACGCCTCATAACACCCATATACATATATGTCTCATAAGAAAAGAAAAGTTATGAAAGGGCAAGTCAATATTCCAAGCACTCGGATTCCTTTAACCTTAAAAGGGCTTATTTAAAACAGGCACTCACGGCCATCTACCATCGTCGAACAGGCACGAATTTGACAACCTGCCTTCATAGAGAGGCACCTGGAAGATGCTGAGAAGGAGGAATGCGGACCAGCCAGTTTAGAGCAGCTCACAGATAACAGGATAGTGATGTCTTCATACAGCTTGTCTGCTCCTTGGCTTGAGGTTAAAGTGGCTGTGGAAAGAAGAGAAAGAGGGAAGGAGGGAAGGTAAACTCTTGAAGGCAGAGATAACGGAACAAGAGGAAGTCTTTAGGAACTTCAGGGACCAAATGCTGATCCCTGCAGCCACATATCAGAACATCCCACCACCATTTTGCTAGCACCAGGAGGATAATTTAAAAGGTTTAGAACTTTGGATTCCATGTAAAAAATGCTTTTTCTCTACTATCTTTTAGATTAGGTAACTTTTGTGGGTGAGTAACCTCACTCATTCCTAGGATTCTTTCCTTTTGACTAGTTTCATTTTTCAAGCAGTGACCTTTCCCTGACCTCGGCCCCAAACTCGGGGTCACCTTGCTGTAGCAGTGGTATAGCACTGAATAAAGAGCTTGCTAGATTGTTGGCACTGGATAAGTGGTACTGAGCACAATTGCCCTCTTTCATGAGTGGGAGGGAAGTTTCCTTTCCTAGGGTTCAGAGAGTTGGACTGACTTACGCCTGCATTTCATTTTGTAACCCAGTAATTTTCCCTCTGGCCAGATCTGCAGACTGGTTGCCTTGCAGGAAGGTGACATGCACCACTGGTGCAGGAAGCAAAAAGACTCTTTATTGTCATGAGCACAACTTTCAATGGTGCTTCACAACAGACTCACTTTATAGTTGAAATAGGTCAATTATTTGCCCCGAATAATTAAAATGTTTAATTGCTTAAACTCAATCTCAGTTATTTTAACATGTCTATGCTGTTATTTCATTATACTTTTCTGAAAATCATTGTCAGATCACCTAGCTATGCCAATTTTCTGATTTACCCTCAAACAACCTCAGGAAAGAACTCTTTTTACTTCAACATGAAAACAACTTGTATCCACAACGTTTTCAAACAGTGGGAAACAAAATAACTCTAATGTGCCTGAATTGGAGACCCTAAGTAACCTCTGTTATCTGGATTCCATGTTGCCAGAGTCACAATGTCTACCATCATGATAGTCACTTCTTATGTTCTAGGTTGTACTACTGCTCCTTTGCAAGGAAGAAACCTGCCTAACAGGTTCTATTGCTGAGATTCCAGGAAACAGTGTCTTAGTCCATTTGGGCTGCTATAACAAAATACTTCTTTTTAAAAAAAAAAATTTTTTTATCAGCTACACATGACATTACAATGATCTTGGCACTTCACAAAATACTTCTGACTGGGTAATTTATAAACAAAAATAAAGCTCTGAAAGCTGGAAAGTCCAAGATTAAGATGCCAGTAGATTCATGTCTGAGAGGAACTACCTCTCAACACTATTATATCACAGATTAGCTATCAACATATGAATTGGGTGAAACCATGAACCAGGAACATTCAGACTATAGCATATAGTGAATCGTAAACTCTGACATGTCACACTGAAATTCAAGACCAGTATAAAAGCCTGTCTTTCAAATAAACCAATATGGTAATATTGAAAATTTCCAAGGCCATCACTCTGCGTTCTCTACTTGTTCCCATTCTAAACATGTTAGCATTGCAGAAAAAAGAAAAAGAAGTATCTCACTAGCTAATGGTGAGCATTAAGCTAGTCCCTATCTTGCCATTCAAATTTTTAGTTCTTGGGAAAATAGTGCTTCAAATTATTTTTTCAAATGAATAGACTCTCGTCTCATATTTGGGCATTTAATTAGATGCAAGGGAAAAGGGACATGGGAGTTTTTAATACCATTTTGCTATGCAAAATACTCATGAATATTTCTAGCCATATTAGGTAATTCTATATCAAATATACTTGTGAATCCACGCGGTCTGGCAGTGGTTCGGCGGAACACAACCATCAGTCAGTGTTAGCTCCACGCAGACGCATGGTTCCCTGTGCACTCTAAAGCAATCAAACGAGTCTGCAAATGTTCTTCAAAGAATACATCTAGAATGTTACTTCGTTAAACATCTCCTTGGCATTCATTCTATTTACCACTTTGAATTGCTGCATTTAGTTTTGTAATGACCTTCTATAGCGAGGAGGTTTTATTAACTCTTTGATCTTCTAGCTTTGGAATGAAAACAAAGAAAATAGAAATGAGCACTTTGTGCGCTGTCTTATAGAGGAGACTAGAAGAAAAAAGGAAATATGTTTTCATCAAAAAGATTGGTTTGTATGGAGACTTTCAGTCCCTTCCACTCTTTTTTCTCTTTGAGCAAAATGCTTATCAATGTTGTACATGTGTTTGTTTTAAATGTCTTCTGTATAACAAAGTCTTTGTTTCTCTTCTCTCTGTGCTGGTAGCTGAGGCTAGATTCAGAAAATTCATTGTGGATTTTCTTTTTAAGGCCAGTCTCCATCCTTGGTTCCCTCCAACCCTGAATACTATTCTTGGGAAATTTGCCACCTTATTTATGGGACACTGGAAGCTCTGCTCTGTGTGCAAGTATTCCTTTGTGTGTTTCCCTGTGAATGGTGACAGGGAGAGGATCCCCAAGAGGGTAGTTACCTAATCCTGCGCTGAGAAAAAGCTAGAGAACTCTTTAAATCCAAATCCCAGTTCAGTACTTCATTGTAACAACTTCTGTATGTTCTGGAACATTTGGAATGGAAACTCACCGTTTAGTTATGTTGCTCCTAAAGTTCTGAACTTGTAGCTTTATTAACATGTGGATGAGATACCACCTTTCACATTTATTTTATTTTTATTTTTATCACTCTTATGTTTGTTCTCTTTTACCTACTCGTCTGATTCTTTTTCATCTTTGGGAGCAAAATTTTAGGTGAAGGATTATACAATACCTGAATTTTGTGATAAAAATTAAATCCTAAGGGCGGAATAGTTACTAATCAAATTGAACCTCTTCTTTTTCTATTCTCATAATCATCCATTTATCATATAAGACATACTGTCTTATGCATCTTGAAATTTGAATCTGTGTGGATAAATCTAAATCTAATCTGTGTGGACTGATAGCCTGGGAACTTTGGGAGTTAACTCAACTTAGACCCTACAACAGCAGGTGAACTATATGTGTGCTAATAATGTCATCTGGCCATACCACAGCACCGTAGGCTTATCTGAAATGGGAAGGCATTATTCATTTCAAAATGGCCTCATTTCACTTTAGCTAAGTTTCCATTTTACTTGACTTGTTTAAAGCTAATCACTGTGGTACTGATGTGATAACACTATAAAAACCATCTAATTCTACTGGCATTACTTTTAGAGGTAAAAATAGGATAACTTAGTTGGTCCTACCAAGTAAAGCACACCAATTAAAGTCATGCCTTTTTAATTTCCAATCTGTTTCAATTTGCTTTTTTTGGGTCAAACCATGGGTTTAAAAGATTGACAATTGATGTGGGAAACATACAGCTTTTCATCTTGAGGAACTCAAGTGGCAGTTTCATCTGAAAGACGGTTGGCAACCAGCTTGGCATATTGCTTCTCACACTGTCAACTGGATGCCTTTCCGTGGCTTCCTACCTCAGAAAACACCTTCCTCACGATAGCATTCAGCATCATGTTTTATGTTTACTTGTCTCATCACACTTTACACTGTGATTTCCCCAAGCTGAAAACTTGTTTCTATTCTAGAATGGGTTCTAAAAATATTGTGCAATGATATTAATAACTATAGATTGCTGAAAACTGTGAGATGGGTTCTCCTGGGAAGTTTAAAATTATAGCTAGATAACTCTCAAAGCAAGTCAGCCTGGACACTGGGATCAGAAAAGAACTTAAACCTAACAACACTTTTGGAATATTTTATTGAAAATATTTTTATAATCAAACAAGTAATACAGCAATCAGTGTTTATGTACATACAATGTTTAAACATAGGTAGAAATTAAGATGACAAAGACAATAACTTAGAGCAATTATTACATACAAATGTGAGAAATATATTAAGAAATGCTGAAATTT